GTCAAGGAGGGAAAAAGGGAGGGACTAATGAAATATGATTTCATTTTCTTGGAATAGGCATAACTCTGGCTTATTCTGTGTGGCTATTCTGGTTTATAAATGATATTCTCTTTTTTTGTTCTAGGGGGAATTCCTGACCTCGACCTAAAATAGACGTTTTGGTTGAATTCTCATTCCCAGAAAGAGCAAGTAGCAAAGAAACAATAAATTCTTTTCTAATGCTTCCTAGGTATATCCTTATCCTGGCACAGGCAGAATAGGATGCTGCAGCAAGGGGAGGGAGCTGCTGGTGGCAGGTGTTGATAATATAGACCCAACTGTAACTGGTAATATAGACCCGACTGTAAGCACACGCGGGTTCCCCGGCACACCGATGGCTCGGCCCCAGGTCCAATAGCTGCAAAGGAAGCAATTGCTAGAGAGGAAGGAATTGTGGTCTAAATGTCGGCTAGTGTAATACTAACTCTGCAGCCGGAGACCTGTATAAGTCGATCAGAACAACTCTGTGGACCCGTGACCACATTCCTGGATAGTTTCCATGAAAATAAACCAATACCACTGCTGGATTTATCTTTGCTCCTTGGACATTGTCTTAATGTCTTCGTTTGACCCTAAATTCATGAATCCAGGAGAAAGGCTGGATTTGGGGATGTATTATTGATGAATTTTTATTTAATCATTATCCCCTTTTGACCGCTTTTCCAATGTATTTTTCTGTAGCAGAAACAAAATACAGTTGAAATCATTTCTTAAAGTTGTAAAATTGGAATCATTTCTGCCTACCCGCTTCACGGGGTTGTTGTGAAAATAAATAACGCATTACAACAGCACGTGTCACATAGTAAGTGCTATGTAAACGGTGGCAATTATTATTTACATGTTCCCACTCGGAGAACCAATCCCTAGATTAAGAATGAGTCAAAATGTTAAATTTGCCAAACTCACCTTAAAGGTGTGTGATTTTTATAGGAAATGTGGCATCAAGATACTTGGGAAGTTAGCCAATGCTGCTATTGGTACACATTTTCAAACGAGATCGTGGACTCAGAGAATTGGGACCTCGAGGGAAAGACCAACACTTCCCTTTCCTGGATGCAGAGAAGGGGATCCCGAGAAAGAAGCCACAATAGCAAACCTGCAGTCATGATCAGTAGCCCACGGTCCCTGCCCAGGGTTCCCCAGAATGCTATGCTGTGGCTAACAAGACGTATTTTTTTTAAATATTTTATTGATTTTTTACAGAGAGGAAGGGAGAGGGGTAGAGAGTTAGAAACATCGATGAGAGAGAAACATCGATCAGCTGCCTCCTGCACACCCCCTACTGGGTATGTGCCCACAACCAAGGTATATGCCCTTGACCGGAATCGAACCTGGGACCCTTGAGTCCGAAGGCCGACGCTCTATCCACTGAGCCAAATCGGTTAGGGCAAGACGTATTCTTTATAAAGGGCTTCAGAAAAGCTAAACACTCTACCAACCAGAGATAGTGTGAGCACTCTACTTGGACAAGTAAAGTCTGAGCTTCTCATCTGTTCCCCTCATGGAAATGACAGCCAGCGCAAGCAAAATGCCTTGCGATTGGAAAGGTAAGAGGACCCAACTCACCAGACCTCCTGCTATGACCGACGGACTCCTCCCAGCTATGATGCCTGGGAGACAGGTAACCTGTGCAGCCAACAAAAACACATTTAAAAGAAGCAGAAGCAAGCGATGCTACACGTTGCAAAGCCACCCGATATTCAGATGCGCTCTCCTGAGCTGTGTCTAATGCCAGCATCCTTTTTTTAAAGAGACATATCCGTTTCAGTCAAGGTTTATATTTCACTTTCCCCATTCCTCCCTGCCTGGACGAGGGGAAACACACACAAACACACACACATACACACTCTCACACACACACACATACACAGACACTCTAATGCCCTTGATCAGGGCGACAGCAGCGAGACATGAGAGATTTCCGGGAGAACGGTGGTTAGGCCACACTTTCCATGAGCGCTGGCTGCAGCAGCCAGCTCTGCCATCATTCTCTCAAGGTAATGCCTTGCTCCCCATTGTCATTGCATCTCGGCATCGAATTATTGGAATTCCACACGCATCGACAGCACTCCGAAGGGCCCTGCCAATTTGTGCAGCTCGCTTGGAGGAGAGCTTCAGGAAGCATTACTCATTTATACGGCGCCCGAGCTCCCGCTGTGGATTCAGCGCGCAGGACTGCCTGCAGGTGCGGCCCTCAGCTTAGCTCTCTAATCCTGTAACCCTTTACCCCCAGCTCCTTCCCACAAACATGGGCAACGAATCCCCGGGCTGGTGTCCCGGCTCTGGGAGCTTCTGTTCCTGCAGATGGAGCCGGGCTGCCAGAGGCAACCTGGAGACAGGGCCAGGTATCTGGCTTCAGACCGGCCTTGGGGTGAGAGCCCCAAAGCACAGCACACAGCGCCCCCTTCCAACATTTCCATACCGCTGAAGTCTGGTTAAAATGCACATCTGTCCACGCTAGTGAGGCGGCTGATAATGACCCACCTTCTGTTGGGGGGGAGGGGGGGGCGCGAGAGGCGGGGGGAGCCATTAGCAAGGGAGTCTGGGGAGATTTTTTTTTAATGACCTAGGAAAAAGTCTCACACAACATAAATGAAAAAAGAAATGTTGTCCAATCCCAAATCTTATATATATGTTTTATCTGTGCATGTGAGTATGCATACACACACATATTTAACGGGAAGAAAATACGTTAAAATGAACAGTGATCATTTTGTTTTTATCTTTGTCTATATTTCGTAAAAACAAACAGGTGTTACTTTTATATCCAGGAAAATAAATGCTGTTTAGAAAGAAAATTTCCATCAAGGGTGTTTTTTAAAAGAAAATGACTATTTTCCAAAGGTTCACTACACCTCAACCCAAAAACCGCCCCCCCCCATTCTGAAAGTAAGGGGTTCCTGCCCGCGGCCCCCTGCTTAGAGAGGCTGCCACAAGGGGGTTCTCCAAGCACAAGTCTGGGGTCCAGTGAGGAGTTGGTCTAGCAGGACCATCAGTAACCACATCGATCCAGAGAGAGAGAGAGAGGGAGGTTGGGGGAGAGAGAGAGAGAGAGAGAGAGAGAGAGAGAGACATTGACCTGCTGCTCCACTGATTTATGCTTTCATTGGTTGATTCTTGCATGTGCCCTGACCAGGGATCGAACCCACAACCTTGGCATATCAGGACGATGCTCCAACCAACAGAGTTATCCAGCCAGGATGAATTCTCTCCTTTGAATTGATCTACCCAGAGAAAATAGCGAAGGCGGGAACAGAGGGGAAAGAGGAAGAGGGGGAAAGGATGAGCCACTTGAATGGCTAGGTGTGGACTGCTGAGGAAGAAATGCAGGACTCGATCGTTGGAGCTGCCATGGGCCCTGGACGAGCTTTCGGTTCTAGGGTTCCATGCCAGGCAGATCCACAATTTCTATTTTTCCCGTGAGGTCTTGGTGGTTGTTTCCCTGGGCATCTCGGAGAGAGAAGCATGGCCAAGAATCCTGTTTCCCTTAGCACCGTGGGTTTCCTCATAACCATCTACTAATATTTGGGGTCAGATTGTACCTTGATCCTTCTAATCACAGGAGACAGGAACTTCAGGCTATCAGAGCCCTGAAAATAGGCAAATAGGTTCCATAGGTCATTTTATTCTTTATTAAGGACACTGCCCAAACCAAGGCTACCACCAGCCCATGTGGCATTTTATACAAATTTGAAAAAGCTACCCCTTCCTCAAGTTAACACAAAAGTTATGTTACTTATTTCTCAATAATAACAAATACTAGGAAAAAGTAATTGTATATAAATTATACAAATAAATGATTGATTAAACAATAATGGAAAATTCAAATGTTTAATTATAATATTAGGAACTTAAGTCACTGGGGTCTAATAATTTGTTGTAAGATAGATACACATCTTTTCTTGGTAGAAATAATTCTTTTGATAGTTTTAAGGCTTACTTTTTTTTTTTTAATAGCTCGTATGTTGTAGAAAGGATCACCAGATTGGTCATCTTTCTTATGGTATTGAGGACTTTGCGTTGGTTTTAACATATTTAGTTTTGAGAGGCCACAGTCTTCACTGATCATGGTATTGGTCAGATTAATTGTACCTTGAAAGTTTCAAAATAGTTTGAAGATGGATCTGGTACATTATTGTCATAGACATATTGCAACATTGTGGTGAGCGAATACTAGATTGTACAAAGACAACTTTAGGTCGTAGTTCTTTATACATTGATGAATGAGGCATAACGTTCTTCTATTTCAATTGTACTTTTTTTTTCAGTGTAAACTTTTTATCTGTAGAATTAGCCATTTGGATCAGTTTAGATGGTGCCAATTTTGTTGGCAACATCCAAAGCATCTTAGCCAGGAGCCAGTCAAACATATGCCTTCTTCTCGCCATCAGGCCCGATCAGGGTGCTGACCTTGGCCACCTCAATGTCATAGAGCTTCCTCACAGCCTGTTGGCTCTGGAGCTCATTGGCCTTGACATCCACAGGGAACACACGTGTATGATTGTCTTCTCTCTTCTCCATGGTGGACGCAGTGGTCAGGGGGGATGTGATGATGGCACAGTGGGCAGGCTTGTTTCCCGGGTGCGCTCTTCCGGGGATATTTGGTTGCCTTTGGAGCCTTAGAGTCTTTGGCCTCGGAAGGTGGGTGACATGCAGATCTTTTTTGTGTGGCTGTGGACGCCTTTCAGCACGGCTCTCTTTGCCTTCAAAGCCTTTGCTTTGGCTTCGGCTTTGAGAGGGGCAGGGGCTTCCTTCTTCGCTTTCGGTGCCATCTTCATCAAAAGGCCCAATGGACCATTTTTACCCGTTTTGATAGTAATGAGCTCTCTGGAACCGTGCGCCTCCGAGGACCCGGCATCCGGCCCCACCAGGAGCTTGCGGGGAAGGCACCATCTCAGACCTCACCTCACAATGGCTGAGTCAGAGTGTGCGTTTTCCTGAGATCCCTAGGTGCTCTGTTCACACGTGGAAACGTGAGAAATACTGATCGAGGCTGCTGGAAAGGCCATGATGTCTTTCAGCAATGTCGACTGTTCCTTTAAAGATAATAGAGAAGAAAGAGAAACAGATTTTGGATAAGTGGATCGTCGGTGGAAATAACATCTGAAACGAATCTCCCTCCCTTCGCTGGCATTTTCACATTGGGAGAGTTGGAGTCAATGTCAAGTAACTGCGACGTGTGTATCAGCAGTAACATCCTTCTGTAGTGGTCATAAATTCATTTTTCTTGGAAGGTTTCTTTAGCCCATTACAGGCTGTCAAGGGAATAATATACTGACTTCTGGTTCCCATCTAATTTTGCTTATCACACTCATTTTACCTTCATTCCAAATGAGTCCTGAGCAGTGCATTTTCCCCCCCTTCCTCCCTCCCCTCCCCACCCCCCAGGGGTGCCACCTCTACCTTCCTCACTTTTAAGCTCCAAGGGCCCTTCCTTTGCCTTTATAACTTGTGTCCTCAGTCTATTCCCTCTTTGAATTATTCCACCTTCGTGATTTTATAAATAAATGTTCACTTATAGTTGGAGTCTTGGCTCTGAATTCTTCCCTAGCCAGAACTCAAGTACCAAGGCTGCTGAACCCAGGTCTGGTCTGACCACACCGTCTAACACCTGGTGCCCTTCAGGCTGCTGCCAGCATTTCCTCACCTTAAAACAGTAAAATGGAGAATTTTAGAGATAGAAGGGTGTCCTCAGTCCATTCCCTCTTTGAATTACTTATTCCACCTCTGTGATTTTATAAATAAATGTTCACTTATAGTTGGAGTCTTGGCTCTGAATTCTTCCCTAGCCAGAACTCAAGTACCTAGGCTGCTGAACCCAGGTCTGGTCTGACCACACCAGTCTAGTACCTGGTGCCCTTCAGGCTGCTGCCAGCATTTCCTCGTCTTAAAACAGTAAAATGGAGAATTTTAGAGGTAGAAGAAACCCTAGAGATCATCTTGCCCAATATTCTTATTTTACAGATAAAAAAAAACAAAACCCTAAAACTCAGAAATCAGATGAAGAGATCAAAGATGGCAGTGGAGTAGGTGCAAGCTACACTCATTGCCTCTTAGGTACAAACTGGAATTACAAGCAGAAAATAGAGCAACTAACCTGAATAACCAGCTGAAGACTAGCTGGAGAGAAGTCTCATAGCAAGGATGTACAGATCAAGCCCCCTGAGGCTGGTGGGGAGGGTGAAGGGGGCTGGCCCTGCTTCCACAGGTGGCCGCTGAGATTCTGGAGGGATAGCTCCGCTGTAAAGGACCCCCTAAGAAGAGTGAGGCCTCAGTCGCAAGCTGGGTTCCCTGGCCCCCTGAGCAGTGCCTTGGAAAGAGAATATTTCAAAGGCTTGCATGCTCTTGGCTTGTGTTTTAGAACCTATGTTTGTGTTCACATCAGCAACAGGCACACAGACTCCCTCTAATGACGTCTCAGTAGCAAGATGGCATCTACTCAATTTTCCCATCTCAGATTCAACAGTGATCTTAAATTTTATGTTCCATAAATGCATTCTCAATATACTCCACCACTTGGCTAATGCAAAAAGAGTAGTTATATAATGTCTTAGATGATATAAAAGTGCTGGCAAAATAGATGTTTGCTGCCTGGTTCAATTCTGAACGTAAAGGAGATTCCTCAAGTTAACACAAAAGTTATGTTACTTATTTCTCAATAATAACAAATACTAGGAAAAAGTAATTGTATATAAATTATACAAATAAATGATTGAATTTTTTTGAGGCTCTGTGGCAATCCATTACATTCTCTACACATACCTGTGGCATTGCTCTATCCAATTTTTCTTTAGATTCGGTTTTTGTAAGTAGTCTTCTGAAGATACACACATACCCTTTCTTTTGTTTTGTCGTCGACTGGACAACCTCTTATGTCCAAATGGTCACATCTGAAATGTTTACTTTTTTGGAAATCCACCAATCTAATAACTCCCAAATGGCTTATGCCAGGAGTTGTATCTAAAATAATCAAATATTTGCATTTCTTATCTTTTTCAAAAGCAGGTCATGCATTGTATCTGCTATAACTTCATTTGATTTTACATTTCATGCCTTACAATGTGTAATATCATCTGTTAATTGATGTGCTATTATGTAACTCAATTTTGTATAATCTCCACCAAAGGAAGACAATTCTCATCACTGGACTCAGAGTTCGTTGGGTAAATCCTCCCCTTACACGTGGCCTTGCCAGAAGCTGAACGTGCAGAGTTCGTGCTCCAATGTGGCTTCTCCTCTTAGCGGCGTCTTTGTTACCTGCATCTCTCTCAGTGAACGTTCCCAAATTCAACTTTGACTTTCTAACACTACTGTTAAAGTGCATTTGCCTTCTTTTTATTAGTAATGTGGTACATGCTGCCAATTTTTGCTCACAGTTTCATTCTTCAGTTTATTTTTCATCCCTGAGGAATTTGCCACATAGGTAAAGCACAGAAATAATGAAGGTACATTAATTTGGGGTTTTTGATCATTAGTAAGAACTTATGAATAAATAATTTCTGAAAATTTTCTACCTATATTGAGGGTGTTAAATTTGATGGTAGTTAAATTTGTTATATAAAACAGACAAATGTCAACGAGACTGTTATTAATATTCAAATTCTTAAATATTCAAATTATATAGCCAGGTACCTGGATATATTCAGTTTAATGTGTTTATTTTCTCTTCCACTTTTTCTCAAAATTAACCAGTTATGTTTGGCATAAATATTGATGGTAAATTCCCATCCTAGTCCAGCAGTCTTTGCGCCCCCATTCTCAAAAAAAAAAGTATTCATTTTCATTTCTGTGTTCTGATTATGAAATTAATTTTAAAAGCTCTTTTATAATAGCCGAGCAGAAAAATTAGTATTTTATTTTAGAACCTACATGTATATAACATACAAAGTATATAGTTAACTAGCTGCTACATATTAAGTGTTAATATTCTTACTAACAGGATATCTATAACAATGAGCTATTATGTAATTACCAGATCATTAAAAGGGGAATTTATAACTTATGTGCATATAATTTATTTTGTGGATTATTTGTGCATATGTAGAGCGATGGAGAGTCGTACAATAATGCAAGTTGTTGTAGGTTTGCGTTGGGAAGTCAGCAGCACCTTCTGAGTGCAGCCAATAACCAGCAGATGGCGCGATGCAACCTGAAACGCTAAATTAGCTGGGCACTAACAACAATGGGGATTTTTAAAAATTATTTTTGAAATCCTCACCTACCAGCACATCCATTAGAAAAGCAGTTTCTTGTTCAGAAGCAGAAATACTTTTAGAGACGGTGGGTCTGTTGTTGGCTTTGATGAGTAAAAGCAGAACAAAACGTGTGCAACCTCTTAAGACACTTTGCTGCCATCTGCAGGGAAATTGTGATAAATCTGCACTCACCCATCCCTGTGACACCCAGTAGCAATAAGCCTGCAAACGGGATAAGGATGGTGCCCTTCCATAAGGAGCATGGGTGCAGGGCCCCAGCGAAACAGTCAGCTCCAGCCGTCCGTCTGCCACCCACGGGAGCCAGCTGGTGCCACTGGACACAGGTCGGCGTTTGCTCCTCAGACGACAGGAGAGGTGACCTTCTTTAGTGGTGAGGTCTTGTTTTTTAAAACCACAAATCTCAGCGTGGACTCTGGCGGGTTGGGTGTCCACGGGGACAAACAGGCCTTTAGCTGACATGAGAGTCCCTTCAGGGTAAGACGTAACCTGACTTAAAGCTGAAGAATGAGGCATGTCCATAAGGTCCCAGTAGAGGAGACGGGCCAATGGACCATCTGAGGCTGGAGTTGGCATCCTCTCACAGAGACCAACGGGGAACTGTTGTTGCTGGACGTGGCCGGCAGAGCCCCTGGCTCCCTGGAAGCTTGGCAGGCCCGGGAAACCCCGGGTGCACGGGCCCTGGGCCCCAGGTGGGTGTGCAGGAGCTGGGGGGCCCTGGCGGGGAGGGGAGAGGCAGAGATGGGTGGGAAGACTAGGGCCTGGGTTTGGTCCTGAGAGGCAGGAAACAGGGCGGGGTGCACGCAGCCCCCTCCGCAGGGTCACTTTTGAAGGTGCTGGGGAGAAAAGGCCGGCAGGGGTGCAGGAAAGCCCAGACTTTTCTGTGTGAGGCTGGCCTGTCCACTTGGCCTGGTCCCTCAACCTTCAGACCAATTCCCTCCTCTTAGGGCCTGTCACCAGGGGCCCTTGTCACCCATTCTAGAAGCTTCTGTGGCCAGTTTCTCGAGCTCCTGCTTTCTGAGAGCCCGCTGCTTGCCCAAAGCTCCCAGGGCCCTGGGAGAGGCAAGGACATAGGAAACAAAGCAGAGGTTTCCCAGGATACTGTGAGCACCAGGGGGAGGAGGGCACGGAGCCCACCCTGCAAAGCCCTGACCTGCCCCTCAGGCCACAGGGCCTGGAGTTCCCATAGCAATGGTAACCAGGCTAAGATGCTAATCTGAAACTGCTGCCTCTTCAAGCTGCTCAATAAGACAGTAATGGGGGAGAGGATTACGGGAGGGGGGCGGGAGTCCCAAGGTGAATGTGGGGGTGTGGGTGGGAGTGGGAAGGCGTGAGCGGCAGACAGCAGGCCCATGTTTCCCTCCCACTCTCTGACATGGCTTCCACGCCTTTCGTCTCTCCTCCCACCTCCCACAGACCTGGGTCTCCTCCCTCTCAGCTGCTGCAGGGCTTCCTGTAGACAGGACAGATAAACTGCCCCTGGTCCTATCAGGAGCCAGTATTCCTGCTAAGCCCCGCGCCCTCCCCACTTCCTAGTCTAGAACATCCCTCCTGCAGTTGACCTCCATCCACCGCATCATTCCTTTTTCCCTCTCTATGGGACCACTTTCCAGCAAATGAAGTCATGCCGGGAGAGTGAACTGTTAAAAATCCACTCCACGGAGGTACAACTTGGATATAAAATGAACCCGTTGTAAGTGTAAAGTTAGAGCGTTGACAGAGGTCTACACCCTGGCTGAGTCCAGCTCTGCCTGTTTATGCATTCGCCTGTTGAGATTCACCTGGGCTGTTTCTGTTGGCTATTGTGAATAAAAAGTTCAGTG